TGCAAATAAGTTGAAGTGACAGCACAATAGATCTGAGTGAAAGGAAATGGGAGAATTTTAGGTGAAAACAAAAGGATTATTTCATTCATTTTATGCCCACCAGTGCTTTGTATCAATTATAGCTTCATATCAGGGAAATATAATCTATTTAGACTGGTTTATTATGCAAATAACCTGAGGAGTTTGGGTGGAGAAGTGTTTTATTATACACGAGTCTTCTGCTTCTCTCTGCAGCTAAAATCAACTCAAGCTTTTAAAAACATGTCAATGATGGCAGCTGTGAAGGAGAAATTGTGATTGGAGTTAAATGTTTGTAATAAAAGGTGGTTAGATGCTGATTGACTGTTATTTATGTGAACCATATATTCACTGAGCAGGTTTCCAGAAAAATGTATCGTTATAATAATCGCCTTCGCTCGACCGAGTATTTGAGTGTTTGTTAATGGTTTTGGTCTTATGGTTGACTAAATGCTCTATCTCGTTGTCCTGCTGAAGTTGCATCAGACCGCCGGCACATTTTCCTCACTAGTTGGTGGAGAAATAAACAGAGCTAAAAGCAGTGGATCGGGCATCTGCGGGTTGAAATATCTGGTTATCATATGGTTTATTCACGCTACACAGGAACCACAACGGGGCTCACACTCTCAGCGGAGACGAGAAAAGAGGAAGAGACGGCTAACTCGTTAGCGACTTCCGTCATCAGCTCTGGAAAAAAATAAGTTAAAAAAAAAACAAAACAGTTGACGGGAGCCGTTAACTAGTGAGCCGGACTTGAGAATTAAAAGGGTAGCTGCAGCAGCGGGTCCACAATCGACTACTTGAGCTCCTTCTGCACAGATCTCACAAGACAGAGATGTACAGCGTGACCCCAACGGTTGGTGTAATAATGTATGAAATAACAAAAAGGCATCTTTCCTCAGTATGCAACATGACCGACTAATCACAACAAGTTCCTCCTCCATAAGAGGATTGTTGAGTTGTGTGAAAACTCACAGCCGAGGTGTGAAGATACACAGTCATGGATATATTTTCACACTAATGGGAGTTATTAATCACACCCTGGTAAACATTGAGATCTGTTTTGTTTGAAATGACTTCCTGAAGTACTGAAAGCTGCGATATTGAGGTCTTATGGCCCGTGTGGGCTCGGGGAAGCAAGAGTTTCACAAATCAGGCCGACGGATCAGAAACTGCTTCACGATGCACGATGGTGATCTGGCTCTCTCAGCAGAAGGTAAATATTCCCACAGCATCCAGGTACCTCACAGTGGAGTAAAAGTATTCTGACAAAATATCAATCTTACATGGAAATTAATATTTTAATTTTAAATGAGGCCCCAGAGAAAAAATATACAGTAAAATGGTGGAGTAAAAGACCGGTGTGAAGGATCTTCTTCCTGCTTCTCCACGGTTCAACAATCCGTCTGTCTCATTGATAACCTGTCACCAGATGGATATACAAACCACATCTTTAAAACATGAGCCGGCAGAGCTTGGTGCATGGCACAGTATGCGTGTGTGTGTGTGTGTGTGTGTGTGTGTGTGTGTGCATACGTGTGTGGCGGCAGTGCTGTGTACGTGCAGGGTATCATCTGCATATCTATTTGCAATAAGTATGTGATGGGTTTCCCTGAGGAAATCATTTGTTCATCATTGGCTGCGCACACACACACACACACACACACACACACACAAACAAACATGCACGCACAGAGACAAGCTTGTTTTGAAAAAAAGTCACAAATTACCGCTTGTCGTGTTAATGCCAGCACGAATAACAGGGATCTACGATATTTAACCTTTAGCAGTCTCACAAGGCGACAGATGGGACTGGGCGCGTGTGCGTTTGGGCTCTGGGGGAAAAGGACCCAAATAGTTCAAGTGCAGGAATCATACGTGCCGTTGATTATATGCAGAGCGCATAGAGTCACATGGAGTCATGCCGCGCCGACGAACAAATTCAGATTTGGTCACCTGAGGCTCAGAACACAGTTGCAGCTCTTGCGCGAGAAAGTCGGGAAGACACGAACTCCTCGACCCTTTAAACTCTGACACAAACCAGCAATTCTCCTCCCGAGGCTTGTTGGGTCATGTAGCACTCACACCGAACAATATCCGCTGGTTCGGATTGACTTCTAACATTACAGGGTCAAATTATGGATTAGTGCACTGCGCTTTGGCCTCGGTGAAAAGTCGCAAGCCCTGGAGTAATGCAGAGATCAATGTATATGTGCAGCAATGTCAGGCAACGCATATGACAGGCTGCAGCTACAGCCAGAGGGATGTTTCCATTACGCTTTCATTCCTGAGAGAAAACCTTTCCAGTATTTTTAGCACCAAATCTGCGATGGCAGTACAAAGACAGTATGCTCCCACAAAGGTGCTGATGGGTCCATTTGTAAACAACACATATGATGAACACAAAAACATCTCAAACTTAGCAACCCTTCTCACTTTGTACACAGCAGTCAGCCGGGTTTGGGCAGAAAGACAACTCAGAGGCCGATAGAGGAGACACTTCTCAGGCGAATGGCTTTTGCATAGTTTATTTAACTTCTCTGTTCGCTGTGGTATTTGTGACAGCACCCTTCTGAAGCGACCGCCACTAAAAGGCTGTGTTCATTCATTGGTGCCAGATATGACTGATTCTAACTGAGCTAACTGAGTCTCATGGTTCATACCAAACATCGATTATTTGGGCCATTCAAGAAGATAATTTGCAGATACTTGATAAAGGAATCCAATTGGCTTCTGGCAGAAAAAAAAAAAAAAAAACTCTAAAAGTTTACAGAAAAGAGTTCACAGAGCAGATGTAATAGTGTCAGCAGTGGGTTGTTTTTATACCAACAGACTCCGATCAGCTTATGAATCAGTTCATTAAGCACCTACTTACCATGAAAAGGCCACGCGACCACAAAACAACCCGCCACCCACACCTATTTGTCTCTCTTATCCATTTTAACCTCCCACCTCTCTCTCTCTGCCCCCCCCCACACACACACACAGTTCCGTGCAATCAAAATAGTCCTGCTCATTTACATGTCTCATAATGTGAAGGGTCTCACTACGGAGGCTGTCATTACGCGCACCATTAGAACACAGCAGTACACTAATCTAGCGCTTCCGTGAGGCATCGGCAGCAGGGACGAGAGGGACAGGAGAAGACGCGGTAGAAGACAGGGAGTCTCCGTCTCTCTGGCGTTGATGCTTTAAACTGGCTTTGATCATACATGACCAGCGCCTGGGCGATCGATCCGGCTGGTATTGCACAAGAAAGCAGGTCGTGGTTCCCCGCCGTTTCCTCAGGTAAATGCTTCCAGCAGGTTACGAGTTCAGTCAAACTCCAGAGGACACACAATTACACGCGGTGATTGAGCGGACTAAACGGAGCGTCCTGTCTCGTCCCGGACCGTCCGTTTGGCTTTGACAAAACAGTGAATGAAACAAACATCTTGAGGAGGAGCGGCGGCAGCGGCGGTGCGAGCAGTGGGCGCTAAGTGGGAAGGAGTAGCAGGAAGAAGAGCTGGGGAGGATGTTGGAGGATACAGCTGCTGCAGCAGCAGGTAGGTGTGAGAAAGAGCAGCGGGTGGAGCAGGAAGTGACGCCTGGGCAGGAGCAACAACAGAAGATAATTGCAGATTGAGGAAAACCAGGAGGTGATGTTTGGGGGAGAGAAAGATCATTAGTAAGAGGTCATGCGTGACCAAAAAGGAGGAGCCAGTTGGAGAGGTGCCGTGCCAAAACGTTCATGTTTATTGGATGACAGTAAGCTCCAATGAGGGATTATCTAAAAGGACAACTAGTAGGCGATGTTCAGAGAGGAGCAGTGATTCTTGGGGAGGAACAGTAGGACCACCAGTAGGAGATGCTTGGAGAGGAGCAACAGGAGACAATGCGAGTATGATGTTTGTGGAGCAGTATGAGAAAGAGAAGGCCAGACTGTAGAGTGGCTGGAAGCCGACTGGGTTATTCCTCAGAAAGAGGAAGGAGCTCGAGAAGAACGCTTGGTACGCTTGGTAAGGAGAAGCAGGAGGCGCAGCAAGGCGAGCGCGAGTAACATTTGAGGATTGGAGAGAGAGAGGAGCGCTGCCAGTGGGTAAAGCGCGCAGAGAAGCAGCAGTAGGACATACGAGAGGAGAGGAGCAGCGGGCGATGGATGCTCGTGGAGGAGCAGGAGGAGCAGGACCCTTAGCTGCTGGTGCTTTGGGAGAAGGAGCAGGAGATCTTTTTATTTATTTTTTTATTTTTTTAAAAGGTGCAAAGAATAAGGAGGGAGAAGGTTATGTCTGGAAACGAGTAGGAGGTGGTGTTGTGTGGGTGTAGGGGCTGGAGGAGGAGAAGCAGAGGTGGTGGCAGCAGCGGCCACAGCTACTACAGCTGGGAGCTATAATTATGATTCACTTTGTGCAGTTTGTGCACTTAGATTGTGTTAATAGCGCCTCTTCAGTGGGCTCTGGAGGGACGAATGCAAGAGGGTCTGGCGCTAAATGCCAAATATACGTCACATCATATACAAAGCACAACATGTCATTAGGCGCAATAAGTAGATCGGGGAACACCTGATAGCCTCCAACAATATAATAATAATAATGCAAAATATGCGATTGCAACAAGGTTTGCATGCATTTGGTGTCCCTAAAGATTATTAAGAGGACAATTGGATACATAGAATACACGTTTTTAGAAGAGCATGCGGGAGCTGTGACGCGGTGACAGCCTGTCGGTAACTTATTGTGTTTATTAATATTATTTTGACCTCCAATAGGCGATAGTTCCATTCCTTTAGCGTGCACAGCCAAAATGTAAATGAACCTCCCGACGAACAAGAAAACTTACAAGTGAATCCTACAGAACTGTGGCTCAGACTAAATATCGCAATATGTCTCAGTCGGGAAAGTTAAAGTCGATAACAATATAACTGATTGAACTGAATTGAACTCATTCAAGCTGTCACATTGCGCCGTCGGAACAGACAAACGTCCCCCTCTTTGCGCACTTACCTTCCACTGCGCACACCGAAGTAATCACACAGAGCAGCACCGCAACCCGCACGGCCCGCATGGCCACCGGGGCTCCCCGGGTCTCCTCCCGCATCCGCCGGCTGGAGAGAAGAACAAAAAAAATCCCACAGAAAAGACGCTGTATTCCTCTGGTTAACAGTCACATCTCAGCCCCCCGGTTGTGCGGGTGGGTGTGCGTGTATGCGTGGGCTTCGCCCGCAGAGTCGGCGGGTTTGGGGGGCGGGGGGGTCTCCAAAGCTCTGTCGCCTCGTGCACCTTCCTGTCCAATCAAGAGTCAGACTGGCGGCTCGTAAACCAATCACCCGTTCCCTTCCACCTGACCTACGCTGAATGCCCAGTGGACAGCCCCCCTACCCCGCCCCCCAAAACCCCTCCAATCCCCCCCAGCGTTGGTTTGCGTGGCGGGACAGCGACACCCAGCGGTCACACTGCGGTACAGCGCTTCAACTGAGTGGGCGACCGGCACCGCGCCATGAAATATGTAATAAATATTAATAACCTGTTTTTATTGTGATTTATGATTAAAAACTGTATAACTAATAACAAAAACAGTCCGACAAACTTTTCAACTTCATAAAAAAGTAAAGTAAACTGATAACCCCCCCCAAAAAATGAAAGTGTTTTCTTGACCTTATATGGAACTGTTTATATGTACAGTACATTCTGAACATGCTGAACACTGGCTTTAGCTATTTAGGGCCAACTGTGTTTTAGCATTTACATGTCGGCCCTCATTGTTCTCCTTCGCACTGGACTCACAAGAGAAGTTTCAGTTTGCTGCAATCTGAAACCTCACCGCTGTCAACTTGAACCCTTTTTCCCTTCAGCTATTATAAATGACAAAATGAAAAATCATTTTAAAAGTTTTTAAAGACTTATTACGCTATTGTACTGGGATTGTGAGCTCTTATTTGAAAATAACCACAATTACCCCAAAAACAGAGTGTGGTGATGTACTTGACCTCTTAGTGAAGATACTTCATATTTCATCAGCATCAGCATCCCACCAAGCAGTGGGTGGCGGTAAAAGGTTAATTACTAAAAAAAAAAAATAATTCTCACAGGTGACATTAAATCCACGTTCTTTATGAATGTCATTATGAATATAACACTCAAACTCATTCAGCCACGGCTAATTCAGCTTTTACTGCCACACAAATTCACCGGCTTCTGACACACAAAAAAGATTAAAAAAACGGGTTCCATGAAGTGACGTGTATACATTTCAAATCACAGCATCTGTCTTGTGTTGGTGCTCTGAGGTGCAGGAGGGGAAAAGGTGGATGGTGCAACTACAAGCTAAAAGTTATACTAAGCCCCCCCCACCCCCCCGGTGGCTTTGGATCAATTCGCTCTTGAAGTTTCTGTCCAGTCTCGCGCCTCCTTCATCTCCTGCAGCTTCCTGTCTCTGGCCCTGTCTGTGGAGAGAAGCTGAGCCACACGGTAGTTCAGACCATCGCTGTGACGACGCAGGGCAGACGGCACCTTTCCCCGTCACCACACCATGCACCTCTACAACGATCTATTGGATGGATCTATTGTTTTGCTTTTTTGGTTGGATGTCTGTGTGTGTAAGTGAGAGGGAATCGCTCCTTAGGCAAACAGTCAGAGGCATCTGAAATCGTTGGAGAACCTGGAAATCAATGCTAGGCCTGCCGGCTTCCACAGGAGCTGAACGATTTAAGTTTAAGCCGTCTCCAGAGTTGCCTTACTTTTCTTGAATGACGAATTCTGGCACCTTTGGTTCAGAGGTAACTCCCGACCAGGGGACTCTACGAGGCAAACGTAGACAGACACATTGGCTCTGTTGCTGAGCGTCGATACGCCTTCGTGTCTAGACAAGTCCAATAAACGGTGTAGTAGAAGGTTGCTGCCACATGTGTCTTTCCACATCTCAGTTCAGATTTTACTTTTACTTCCACATCCTTCACGATGGTGTCAGGAAAGACCAGCGATAAAGAAAATGGACGGAAGTTTTAATCAGGTATATAGAAATGAGGAAGACTTTTCCATCATTTAAGGACTTGCTGGGATGTCTCGCTCCATTTACCTGCTGCTCTCCTGCAGTCTGTTGTATGCATCAGCAAAATAAATCATTCATTAACTCCAAATCCCCTGACTGCTGCAGGATTGTCATCCCCACACACAACACGTGGCCCCGTTTCCTCAGCGGGGCCACGAAAGGCTTGTCAGTGCCTGTTACCAAGAGTAATATGCTTATTTATAGCCGTAGTGCAGCTGGCAAATTGCGTTGTTTTTTTTAGAAAAAAAAAACGGGATTGAATTGTGATTTATTGTTACACCTTCATAAAGTTAGGGAGCCGTGCAAGAGAACAGAGCTCAGAGTCCATGCAACTGGCTCTGTGAGGCTGTCCGCATGGTACTACGAGGCTAAGTGGAATCATTAGTGGTTTAATACGCTCACAACGACAAGGCTAACGTACAAAACGATGCCACGCAGTTTAGTTTACCTTTGGGTTACGTAAAGCTGAAGCTCGTGGGAATCTAATGCATTTTTTAGGTACTTGGCCTTGAACCAAAGTATTGCACACATGCAGATTGGTTCAAAGTTATTATCAACCCTGCTGGCAACATAAGTGTCCATCTGAAGGCTGTTGAGAATTTAAACCAAAAATGTCAACCTCATTGTGGTGCTGCAGAGGAAAAGCGTCATCATAAGGTTTCATTCATTCTGGGGAACACTGATGTTATGGAAATCCATTTAAAAGCTGCTGAGATATTTGAGTTGTGTCCAAAGCGATGAATCTACTGACTGATGTACTTATTGTGTGGCAAGAAATGGTCCAGATGTAGGCAGCAAAGGCAGACATTAGTCTCTGCTGTGGGTTAAACGCCATCAACACTGGATTCTTTATTTGCCTCATCTCTCAATCATTTAGTTTGACCCTCAGCGCCTGGTAAAAACTCAAGTCTCCCCAGTGCTACGCACCAGGTTTATAAGCCCCTTTGTGTTTCCATCTTTAGCTGATGACTCCCCTATGACATTCTCAGGACATTATACTATTCCGACCTTTAAAGAAAGAGCTTCCGTCTTATTAGTAGATGCTAATCAGAAACAATCAAATCAAAATGTACATGGCAAATTCCATTGCAACAATCAAACAGAGTTTAATGAATGAAATGTGTGATTCAATACACGGATGAATAAAAATCTGCTTCATACACAACCCCAGCGAATCAGGAGTCCCATGTGCACCGGTAGAGCAGTGTAGACGGCAAGAAAGGCATGCCGAGTAAAAGATGCATCACCAGGCAAACGTACACATGACGTCAATATTCTCCACATTTCCTCTTCTGCTTTCTTCTTTGACGTGTGCGGTTACAAGAAAGGGTTCAACGTAGGACACTGCCAGTTTTTAAACTAAAAAAGTGTTCAGTGTAACAAGTGCTTTGGTTTGACTTACCGTGTATCAGCCGCTGCGTTGCTTGGACTTCATTTAAAGGTGTTTAATGCAGGTGTGCGTTCAACAAGGATCCCTGTGCGTGGCATCAGTGTGTCATGAAACGGATGGACACTGAGCATCTGTGCTTGTTAAATAGTGCTTTTCACCACACTGCTCGCGTCTTTCCGAAGGTGATGAATTGTTAGAAGGTTTCAGGAACGTCATCGTTTATCTGCAATCTGTTTACGCCAACACACACCGAAACATTTGGACGACTACATCACAGGTTATGAGGAGATTCATTGCCGATATAGTATTACACTGTACATTCATGGCTCAATATGGTGCCAGTCTTTTAGCTAATGTACACACACATTTATAACTTACACAATGTTTGAAAAGGTATTCGACTTTGACTTGAGTTAAAAAAAAACAAGCCTTGTTGAACGCACCACGTATCAGGGAACTAATCATTTTTCACTGAGCTGTGCCTGGAAACTGGAGCTAAAAGGACCTGATAGAGTGTTAATAAATCAATATTATCTTCAACATCAACCACAGCCATCATTCTCTCTGTCTTCGTCTCCACCTTCTTCCAACAATCCATTGAAACCAGCTCAACAAACTGAATCACACCCTCACTGAGACATTAAAACTGTCACTGTCAAGCTTTGATCCTCTTGCTCAAAGAAAATGCTGTGCATTCATTCCCCATCACGTCGTTTTCATTTTTTTGGCAAAAGTTACGTACTAGTCTTTCCCACCCCACCAAACCCCTTTTCGGTCCGTCCCGTCGTTCAGCCTTCCTCTAGACTTTGGAGACTTAGGATCGGGGCCAGCGGCGGTGCATCACCGCTGGAACAGCAGGGTGGCGAGTGGGAGGAGCAGCAGCAGGAGGCCGCTTTGAGGAGTGGCTGCTGCGCCTCTGACCCGGTTGTTGTCTGGCGGGAAGGCGTACAATCCCGGCCTGTTGCGAGGACACTGACCCCCTGTGCACATTCCGCTTCCCGAGCCGCTGATGTCGTCACCTGGGGCAACGGGTTGAAGACGGAAGTGTTGCAGAGTGAGCCCCATTAAATACTCATCTAACAAGAAAGGTGTACAAAATATATTAACACTATAATATTAGAAAGGGACCCACTTGCGTCCTGGAAGTCCACGTCGTTGCCATCCAGTGCGTTTTTCAGCCTGTTGCTCATGATTTTGAGTTGCATGATCTGCTGCCGGATGGTCATGTCTGGCTTTGTGATGTCGAGCTCCACTTCTGGGTTGTTGATCTGATTGGCCAAGCCGTCACCCATCACCTCTGGAAGGTACCTAATGTGAGGAGAGCAGGGATAGAACGAAAATGTAAGACAACATCCTCTTTTTGGGGGGTTTTGATGTTTAAAAGCAATTGCTACAGTAACAAGGGAGGTGATCTTGCTTATGAAAGGGTATTTGCTCTATTGGAATATTTAGTAAACTTGCAAACGCTTGGTTGTGCCGTTACTCCACCGGGGGACCACCGGGGTCGTAACAGAAGCGTTTAGCGCCCAACCTCCGGTAAGAGAGGTTTGTCAAACGAAAAATCCTAACTTATGATTTAAGTCCCAAATATTTAAACTCAGTTTTAAAGCTCTTGGTCCTCACAAAGATAAAAGTAAAGGCACACACGCGCACACACAGACACCCAACACCTGCATAGTGGTGGTATTTAATTCATGTTTTTGCAGCTGCTTAAAATTGAGTGTGAACCTATTTAAACTCCTAACTTCAGCACCATCTTCAGTCTTCCACTGAGAACCCATTAGTGTTCATTTTGTGTCGGACATTTATTGAGCTCTTGAGCAATCCAGACGATGTCGCTGTCGAGCCTCAAACCGCAACAAGCTCCCTCTGCCACACCGACACACACACCAACACACACACACGCCTTTTATCCGTCACAGGCAGGCAGCGATTCATCTTTGTTTCACAGGCTTGCTCACACTTCTCTCATCACAAACACAAACACACACACACGCACACACACACACACACACACACACACACACACACACATATCTGTGCTTCACGTCGATTTACTTAAATATATAAATAAGTGTTCCGCTCAGCGCAAATCTCATTAGTCGGCTGCCGCCCAACCACTTTAAAAGATGGGAAGAATGTGTGTGTGTGTGTGTGTGTGTGTGTGTGTGTGTGTGTGTGTGTGTGTGTGTGTGTGTGTGTGTGTGTGTGTGTGTGTGGGAGGGAAGGCCGAGATAACATGAATACATATCAGCATGGAATCAAATAGTTCTATATTCCATTCAGGCCTGGATTAGGGAGACGTTGCGGTTGTACGTGTGTGGCTCTGATCGCTTGTGTTGCTGAATGTTAATCTCACCGGGCTTTTGGATCGCTGTGTGTGGAGGAAATGTCAGTTCATGAATATATTTTCACTCGACACCGTTTTCACTTTTGTCTGACAAGAAAGAGCTTGTTGCTTCTTGTGTTATGACACAAATGATACACATGGCCTTCAACAAGAGGAGAACTGGACTGCACGAAAACAACCTGGTTGCCTCCTTTCATTTTTTTTTACTCCGGACCCCCAGGAGCATCTTTTAGCTTTTAAGTGCTAAAGAACGTGACGAGTGTCCTTTCTGTAATGTATAAATTCTGTGCTGGATGAGGTTCGTTTCAGGAAAATCGTTGTTTTAAGGTTAAAATTCAGCAATTAATGCTCCCAGAAAGCCCCCCTGGGAAGCAGTCTTATGAAGCTTTTCGTAAATCGACAGTAATGCAACTGAAAAATGAAATGCATAGCTAAAATAGTTGTCTTATGTAAAAGAAACCACTTGATGCTGAGGTTTAGTGAAGTATGGATTTGAGGGGCATTTTGATTATTGGATGGAGAGCAGGTAGGCTGGATGTAGTTAGAGTTAAGCTGAATAAAGCATGTGATCATTCAGTGACAGGCAACGTTTTCCTGCAGCAGGTTTCTGCTTGCCTGGCTTTGGTGATGCCGTTCCAGCATTTATCCTGACCAGCACCTCCTGCTGCCAATTTGCTGCAAAGTGCCACAGGGAGCTGGGTCCAGTACTGCCGCATCTCCCTCAACTTACTGGACAGATCTGACACCTGAGGACAGAGGGCAGCATTGCTTTTTACCAAACGAGCCATAATGTGTTATCACGATAAACACACGTTCAAAATGTAACCGGGAAAGGATTACGGGTTATACACACAATGTAGAATCCATTGAAATGCTTTGACAAACACACCCAAATGCAACACAGAATCCTTGAAGTAACGTTTAAAAGAAAGAAAGTAAGCGGTTCAAACATGGTCAATAATAGCATCTTTTTAATGATACAATGCATCTTTGCTTTCAGAAAATAAGACAATGCCAACACAGACCCTCACGTGTCTTTGTTGGCTGTGCGTTAGACAGTAATAATTCCTTCCCATCCACACAGTTAAAGACTCGCACACACCTGCATCTCCAATCTGAGCCCAGCGGTTGGCGAGGGTTTGTACCCGGATGCGGTCAGGGAGCTGCTCTTCTTCCTCTGCTCATGAAGAGCGGGACTTCCTGTTCCTTCTTCACCTGGAGTTCCGCATGTCTGGTACACCTACATGCACACACACAGGAAATAGCACACAAATACAATGTTGCATAAAAACAGGCACATTTTGTAATAACTAAAAGGCTCCACAAGAGGTCGCCATACGCAATCATTTTGACTGTAAGAATGTTTAGTTGCCATGTGAGTGTTGCTGCAGACCATATCGTAAGTATTACAAAGGAAGACATGGATCGACATTCTACTTTTGACATTCCATAGATGTTGATTAATTAAAGTTAACAAACTTTGAACAGAGAATGAAAATAAACTGCATTTAACAGATTAGAACAGTTTGGCTTGAAAACAAGTGAAGACTGTTCACGGCTGCACTCACTGCTACTCTAATAAACGGGCAGTGATATATTCATCAGTAAAATAATGAAAGCCAAGCAATTTAATTCATGATGCTGCCAAGTCTTATTTGAAGGAAGCATATAAAACCAATAAAAAGCAATGGTAGGAGCTCGAGCCCATTAAAACTAGAGATCGTTGAGCTCTGCATCAAGTATGCGCAACGCCAGCGTTTTTGTTGATTCACTTTTTGCACACTATTTACAGCTTAAGTTGCTAACTTCACTATAAATGATTTCTTGTCATTGTTTCTCAAACTGAGTTCAGTACATGTGAACGAAAAACAACCAATCAGAGCAGTTTACAGCCAAACAATACAGACGCCAAAACAGCGGAGGCCGAAACAATACAGGGAAATAATCCTGTTTAGTCTGACAGATGTTGATGTTAATGAATCAAGGTGAGATGTTTTACTCTTGCTGTGAAGGTGTCCATGTTTTCCTGCAGGAAGTGAACAGCCTCATAGATCCGGGCGGGGATGGAGGAGAGAACCACGTCGAGACTGGGCTCCGTGCTGAAACTAGAGGCCACCTGGAACATAGTGTCTGAATAGAGAAGGGAAATCATTCTTTGGGAGGCACAAAAATGTATATACTCCCAAACTCTGCAGTCCCAGTCAACCAGTACATGTCGGACACATTTATATGCATACGATTCCAATGCTTGTTTGGTTATTTGTGTCTTGTTGCATTCTTATCCTAACTTAATTATGATTGACACTCACGTAACAACATTGACATGTTATAAGCCTTAAGCTGTCATATTTGCTCGTACAAGATGTCCAAGTAGAATTCATCCAAATCTTAACTGGATGAACGTGTCAGTAAACCACTTAATTTCACCGGATGAGGGCATGCATGTTCCACACGTCTGGTCATTAACATCAGAAATATTGCAATATACGGATGGACACTTTTCATTGCTGTGTGCAAAGGAGGATAATACTGCACAGCGGCCTGAGAGAAAAAAAAAGTTCTACTGGACGGTACTGAGGTGAAATGTGCCATATAAATCTATAGCTATAGATATCACTCCACTCTGCATTTAGGGTCTGAATCTCACCAATCAGATTCTGCCACTCTGGGTTCAGGTCCGCTTGGTTGGCCAGGCAGCCCTTCATGACGTTGGAGCAGTAGTTGGAGCAGGGTTTGACCGAGGCCATGCCGCGACAGTGGGGGCAGTAAACCAGCTTCATCAGGGCCTTCATGCACTCTGGGCTTAGGTGAACCTGGGGATGTTCCATGCAACAGTTAGCATCTCACACCTCGGTGTTCCAGCAGTAAGAGAAATGTGTTTAATGTCACAGGAGTTCTTGTATACGAGACCCGTTGGCTCTCGTCCTTAACAGTGAACAAATAGACGTACAAACAGCAGAGGGCGGTGCGGTCACATCATAGAGGAACGCAACCGGAAGAAGACTGACAGCCCTCGTTGCGTACGCAGTACGCGGTGTCTGTTACACTGTCGGCTTGTGAGCGTGTTCGCGAGTCTTAAAAAGGTGTCCAGTTCCCCGCGGGTTTGTTTTACCACTTTTCGACACAAATGTGAAAGAGGCACACCTCCAAAAATGGGGGGCAGGGAGAAGGATCAGTAAGTTTGCAATACAAAGTTTCCACTACAAATTGTAGACTGTTTTAAAATCCATGCTTTATGGTTTTATATATTTGAATGCATTCATTCATTTTTATAATTTGAAACGTTTTCTATATTTAGATTTTAAAAGTGAGTGAGTCCCTCACTGTTAACATCACATCTGCATTTTTTGTGGCACTGATTGATCAAATACGATTTCATAATGTTCTCTATTCTTTTTCATTATTATGTTATTATTTATTGTATTTGTATTTTTTGATAATATTTCAAACGTGTTTGTTCTTTTTTGTTTTTATGAAACGTACACTGAGTGTATAAAATGTGCTATAGAAATAAATTTGCTTCTGTTATTACTAATGTTATACTATTTATGTGCTGTAATATTGTTGCTCATACAAGACACGCACATGCAGACACGATTTGAGGTTTACACATTTCAAGCTAGTTTTTAGAATGTGGTATTCATCATAGTATTCATCACATGAATGTGGTATTCATCATAGTATTCATCACATGAATGTGGTATTCATCATAAAAATATCTGGTACGGTCCCTTACGTTCAATGGAGTATTTTCTATTACTCTTACATACCTACTTATAGGAAACAAATGGAGAATGAATGATATAAAAATGTTCTTGTGTACAATAGCCTTTTCACAACAGTTCACAGAGGAAAGCAGCCACATAGTCACATCTGACACCCTTCATGATCAAAAGCAGAAAAACTGCATTTAGTCCTGAATAGACTTCATCACACCGGTAATATTGACAACATTGTTGTTATTAAATGGGAGCTGCAATCTGGTGGCAGAGTTAGATGCTTCAGTTTTGATGATCATTGTTTTAATTATTTTAAGGGTGGAGACGTTTTCTGTGACAGTTAGGGTGTAACGACTACACATCCATCATATCTGTTTTCCTGGGATTTTGTGTTCCTCTCTCACACACCCACACAGACGCACACACACACACACACACACACACAAAAAACACACACACACACACACAGAGACACGCGATTTCCTCTCACTAGCACACAAACACTGACTCTTGAACTCTGTTCCTGTCACACAAACAACTCATCTTGTCTCTCTGTGTCTGACTCACTCCCCGTGTGTCTCCTCACGTCTCATGCACACAAACACATACACACCGACATACACCGACACACACAGAGCGACACACAGACTCTCTCACCTGTGAGACCTTCCTGACCACCTCTCCGCTGACGATCAGGCCCTGGACAAATGACCTGGCTGTGACAAAAGCCCGGATCAGCTTCGCCTTCATGTCCCGTGGGACATCTCCAAATGGCCGCAGCGTCTCCTGTTGCTTAGCAACACAATCAAGGTAGTCCTCTGACAGGCTGACCTGCCACGGCAAGAGTTGACAGGAAGTGAATATTGAGGAGAAGAATGATTTAGACTGCATTGTGCAACATCTAAAACATGATTTCTTGTCAACACACGAAAAGCTAAAACGGATTGGACGGAAAAAATGACTTTTAAAGTCTTTTTGACTTCATGAACTCTTCGAAAACTTTCACTTTTGGATGCAACTTTGCATACAAACACCATATAAACAGCTCCTTCTACGTGCCAACTACAACCTGATATGAATAAATAAGAAACACTGGTATCAAGTGTCTTTGGCCTTTTCATCTGGAGCATTCTGTACAGTACATATAAACTATGAATACAAATGCAATGGAGAAGCAAATGCTCAGAACCACATACAATTATTTAAACTTAAGATCACAAAACGTGTATTATTATTATGCATTCAAAATACAAATGCCGCACTAAGACCTAGCGACTTCTGCTTCACAGTCCGCTGAACCTCTGTGCTCACCTCCGAAGGAGTGGAGATTTTAAAGGTGCGCTCCAGGAGGCGGGACCAGAACTCAGACAGAGTCTCGTCCAGGTTGAGGGCGGAGCCCCGGTAGTACTGTCGCAGGTCCGCGTAGAGATCTCCGTAGAGACGAGTGTTCTGGGAGTACAGAGGGCCGAGAGGAGACAGGGTCTCCAGGAGGGAGCGCTCAGAGTTGCCGTGCAGCTCGGTGAAATAGGCTGCAGGCAGGAGAGACGAGACAAAAAAGGACAGACAATAGACAGAGGAAAGTCAGAGGGAGAAGAGTTGTGACGCAGAGAGATAAGGCGAGGAGGAAAGGGTGAGGAACCAAATCCCCTCAGCTGCTCATGCTCTCATGCCCCCCCCCCCCCCCCCCCCGGCTCTCGGAGGCAGGGCCCTCGGGGCGTTTATCTGCCTGCCACCTCTGTGAACTTTACTAATGAGAGCGGAAAGGCCAAATCAAAACAGAAAAGTTTGGGGGCGTTAAATCAATACTCAAACGGCGGAGTTTGGAGATAATTGCCTGTTAGTCGCCGCAAGCCTCTTTCACATTACACTCGCATTGCTCTTTTTTTACCGAAAAAACAATTGTAAAATTCATGAAGCTTAACGAGCCAGTGAGTTATTTAGATTCCCATTCATCTAACGTCTTTAAAAGCGTCATTGAAACGGCCCTTATAGCCAGATGGGTACAAAGTGATGGAGAGGTCAAAGAGAAGCTGCCTTTACAGTATATCGGTCTGAGCTTTTCCCTTCATGCTTCAAAGGCTGTGGATCAGTGGCCGCCTGTTGTAACCACAACCAGATGGGCGCCCACGTTACTGCTACTGAGGTGGCCCACTGCCATGAGAATAACTGTCCTCCTCCTACTCCCCTGACCGGTACCCCTCCTGCTCCTTTTTCTGCTTCACTTCTTAGTTTGACTCCTAACGTCACATTTCTCACTCGCTGCATTTGTTCGTCCTGCTGTTGGCGGAAGAACTTCTTCCTCCCTCTCTGTCTGATGTGCAGTGGTCTGCAGCCTGGGCTCCTCACTGGGTCAACTGCTCATTAGCCGAACCAGCCACTGCCTTAGGGAACACCCCTCTGTGTGTGTGTGTGTGTGTGTGTGTGTGTGTGTGTGTGTGTGTGTGTGTGTGTGTGTGTGTGTGTGTGTGTGCCCCTTTTCGAGATCAGGGAATCGGCTTATCAGGTTTCATGGTGTCTGGCTGACTCCGCTCTCATTATAACACCCAGTCAGGGGTCCCCTTGACGCACAGGACACAAACACATCCTCCCTCCCTCCCTCGCACACACCCACACACACACACACATACACACACCGTTTGTATTAACGCTACAGCATTGAGCGCTAAGCACAGCCAGGGCTTATTCCAAACACACATTCACAGAAAGCAAACACACTATTGTCGTACTTTTGAATTGAGCACGGGCAGTAATGAGCATCTGTCCTCCAAACACACCCCCACACACACGTATCGTACTTACTGTCGAAGCCCCTGTGGAGAGCGTTGAAGGCAGCCTGCAGGGACCTGCCGGCCTCTCTGATCAGTCCCTCGGTCTCTTTGGCGCTCAGGCTGCCCAGGTTTTCCTCCATGGTGCTTGTACAACAAGTTGGACCCTGAGGACACATCCTCAGATGTTCACCTGGCGAGTTGGGAAAGACACAGCGTTAATGGTTTTATTTGTTTACATGTCTTAACCACTGACAAACTACTTTTACCGCCATGTTTTTAAGAAGTAATATTTAATACAGGTGTAGAGTTGTATTTATTATCAATAATGTTATACATACTTATATCTATACATCTATTTTGATATTTTTGTCCAGACATTCATGTTCACAGAGGTTGAAGCTCACTGCCTGTATATATATATATATATATATATATATATATATATATATATATATATATATATATATATATATATATATATACGACACACTAGTTTCACACAATTTTGTTTTGTTTTCTGCTTTTGTATTAATCCATCAATAATTCAGTACTTTCGAGGATCCATTAAACTATGGATTCTGGTGTATATTGTTGTTCTAATAGTCTATTTCTATCTCTATCTACTTTCACTTAATTAAATCATGTATGTAGGACTGTTTTCTTATATGGTTAATTTTCAAGTAAAGGATTTAAGTGCCTCTCACACTACTGCATGAATCATTTATTGAAATGCTTTTATAGGTACCAACCAGAAAAGCTCTTTGTACAGTAAATACAGCAAACAACTAATTTGACAGCCATGTTTGTTTTTCAGCTGTCTTTCCATACTCACTTATAGTGTCACTTAGACCAAGTTTTGTTTCTTAATTTATATTCTGCAGTGTAAATGCCAATTGTTTGAAATTATCTTGTTTGACTTTTTAAAATATTGCGTCAATAAATCACTTAATAAACCATCATCACACGCCAAACCTAAACCTCAGCCCTAATTTACATTTAAAAACCTAGAAAAGGAGACATCCAACGCTTATTATTCTCATATTCTTAACGGGGATACACTTTCAGGGGAGACAAAACATAACACCCACTGCTTCTGCCAGACAGTCTAGAAATCCGTCTCCAGCCCTGGTCTCTTGATAGACACGATGTGTATTTGTGTGTTTATGTGTGTGTGGGGTTGTGTGTCTCCCCCGCCTGAAAAGGTTAAAGGTAAGTAAGTACCCCACAGCTGTGTGCATCACTGCGCTCCTTCTTCTCACCAGGTCCTGTATGTGTGTGTTGTTTGTTTGTGTGTGTGTGTGTGTGTGTGTGTGTGTGTTTGAATGTGTGGGTTGGAGGGCAGAATTTGTCGACCAGGGTAAGTGGAGCGGAAGACGAGACGCATTAATCATCACTCCTGCATGAATCTTTCATTGGCACTGGCTGATGAGTGAGTGTGTGTGAGTGTGTGTGTGTGTGTGTGTGTGTGTGTGTGTGTGTGCGTGTGTGTGCACGTGCCTGCGTGTTGTGTGTGTGTGTGTGTGTGTGTGTGTGTGTGTGTGTGTGTGTGTGTGTGTGTGTGAGCGTGAGGGTCATAGTAGTCACGGGAAATGTTCCATCTTACTTCCTTCCTTACGTCCCATTTTGAGATATTTTAAGACTTTTGTGCATTATCACAAATACAAGGACAAGCTGGATTTGAAACTTTATGATCATTTTAAAAACAAATGTGAACCTGACAGTTTTGGTCTTGAACATTGAAAAACACAAAATATTTTTTTCACTTCATCAATGGAGAGGGGCGCGGCTACATGAGCCACAGCTTTACAAATAAGGCAGAAAACCTTCCTCAACCGAGACTCATGAATCAACCCTTTCTATTCACTATATTCAGGATTGGACGCAAAACCATTGACGCCAGTGAGAAAGTGCTGTTTAGCGAGCTGTTTGCAGCCTGTTTGCCATGAATCGCAGAATAACAGCACTCAACTCTCTCAGATTGCAGCATTCAACAACCACACATGCATCTCTGAAGTTTTTCACTTCCACAAACAACTGTGAACGCAGCGTAGCGATGGCGTCTGAGCTCGGATAAAGTTGGCAAGATATTCACAGAGTTGGACTACACGGTTCAATAGCTGGTCAGTTAAAACAAAAACGACACCTAAAAATCTGCAAAGAGACGGTAAGAGGGGAAAGGTGCGACACAGCTGAGCTTGCGTCAGAGAGTGAGGGCAGACTCCCGTGTCGGGGATTCAAACCAAACCATCAGTGTACCACATGTGTGTCGGAGACAGCAGACCCCGTCTTTGTCCCCTTGTGCAGCTAATGTTAGAACCATTTAGTTGTTTGTTTGCGTACCCAGCTCGACGACGCAGGGCGTTTACCACAGACGCAAATGCTTTACTGCATTCCTGGGTTACTGGAGAGTGGAAGTGGCTGGCATCCTGCTATAAAAATTTACTTTGCAATTTACTTGCAAAAGACGGAACGAAGTGGAGACACAGTAACACATGTTCAAAAAGCCAGTATGCCAACGTGCTGACACATGCAGATGGACACATCACGGGAGTTTGGAAAGACCAAAAGTGAGAGCAGGCTATCTTGCAAAGTCTGTGAATTGGAGGGCTTTGTGGTGGCAAATTGAAAGCCTTTGGGCAAGCATCTTTCTTACAGTGAAATAAAGTCCTTTTAAGCAAAACCTTGAAGAGAAAACATACATCTTGCTGTATGGAAAAGGGGTGTAAACACAGAGACGAGAGATTTGAGATGAATAAAATCCATTTCTGAAAGCGATTTTGTTGCTCACATTATTTCTTCCGTCAAGCTTCAGTATATATTTAGTAACGTACACTCCTCGAGGGGCACACGCAGGGCTTGTACTACACTTGTGAGGACCCTCATGGACATAAAACAAGATTTCTGAGAGCATTGCAAAGAGAGATAATACAGCTTGGTGCTCAACATAGTCATGGCTGATCGAAAATGTTCGCCTGCTCTTGAAATTTTAATGATAAGATGCCGTAGTGTCTAATAAACACACTCCAGGAATGCACTACTGATTTTGTTTTTCTTTGTTTTTCTTATGTCGAGATAATAAAAATAATTTGGTTGTCCGGGATGGCTTGTCATTGGCTGCCTGTTTGCTCAACAAAGGGTCAACTGCTGCTATCGTCGATAGCGTGGATGAACGGTGTCCCGTGTGGAAATGTTGACCTCTTATTTCTTCCTAGAAAAGAGCCGATCGGCAGTGATTTCCTGCAGCACTGTAAACAAAGATGAAACTAGACAGTGTGCAGCTGAAGATGGCTGAACATTATGAATAGTATGTAAAATAGTATGTAAATTCAGTATGCCGTGAATAACAGTTCATTCCACCATGGCTTTCTGGCTATTCTCACCCACAACCCACTGCGCCGCAGATATGTACAAACAAGAAGGTCCAAGTTCAAGGGGCAATTTTGTGCCAAAGTAGTATGTCCCATTTTAAAGATTACAAAACTTACTTTGTAAGGGAAGCTTCACTAAAAGTGAAAAGATAAAGTATGTTTCTCAATAAGCGGTCAATGTCTTGCCTCTTTACTGACATGAATTTGATGTTTCTGCCAAAAAAGTGTGTTGAAAGACAGAAGGTAAGAAAAACTACTCTGACTTGAAAACCTTTTTTAGAAGTATTACCTTTGATATATTAAACATTTATGTATCCAGGAACGATCAGCTGGGCTCATCTTCAGTGCTTCTCTTCAACAAATCATCATAACAATCAACCCTGAGTGCTCTTTAGTTCAATCACATCTTTCTATTTTTGGCCACTTTCTCCTCTTACATTTCAGCAGCCGATCAGGGACTCAAAGCTACAACCTCATGGCCTCAATCTGCTTTTTATAAACTCTGAGTCACGGATGTGGTGAAGGCTAAATCCATTTAAACCCGGATCGCCGTGCTTATTATTTGACAAATACAGTATATTCACCTCGTTAGACTGGCATAAATTCCAATGAGGTAAATTGGTTAGTATTGATTATGTGGAAATGTCTGATGCAATATTTATGGATATAGATTCATTAAACGCTATTGTGCCGAGTGGAGATCAGTTTCCCACAGCCCTCCTGGAGCTAAGTGCTGCAGAACCATTTTCTGCTGCAGGGAATTTTTGCACTTAATCATTAGTGAATCCATTAAATTCCAAACTCGTCTTTGGTTTTGCCTGCAGACGTTTAACAGTTTACACGGGTCGCCATGGAGACCACATCAAGGCAACTTTACTTGGCCGCTCATTTCCCTTTCCGATTAAAAGCACCTGGCTCCGACTTTCTTCTCTCCGTCGCACCCTCCTCGTCTGTCTCTGTTTTATTCGCCGCATTCCTTGTGGCGACCCCGACATACCTGAGCCAGTCTCAACAAGTGAGCCGGCAATCAGCACGTGTGCCAAGCAGGTGAACACGGGCGCTTGCACCGCGATGCTGCAAAGAGCTGAATCCTAACTACGCTTTCTGCCTCCACCTTTTGTGTCAGAGAATTATGACCTACATACTATTCATTTGAGCACAAATATGGCAAAACTGAAATACCGAGCAAAGCTCTCAAATATGTAAATTATGCTAGTTTTGGTAATAAAATACACAACAGTAAATTAAACGTCTGTCTGACACGGTTACCATCATTTTCTTTAGACTTGTGTGGTCATGCCGTTGACTGGTGATATTTCCTCTGCAGCAAATTGACTTACTAATGTTCATGGGAATAATTGTTTATCTTTGCTTTGTGAGATGGCGAGCTGAATACACATTTTTTGTCCAGCAATCAAACTCGGAAATGCTCGCGAAAAGATTTTTTGTTGGCCAGGTGAATTGTTTGAGAGGGAAATGTACTGACTGTCATGAATAAATCAAAGTCCTGATCAAACTAGAGTAGCTCCACTGAGATCACGTAACTGATATTAGTAACATCTGCATTTTTAATCAAATATTTATCTGGAATCTGTTGACAGCAATGGTTCATTAGATGATACGATCTAAATTACTCTCATGTCTTTTCATTTCATATTGATTCAGAAGAGGCAATTACCTCGTTTGGCACAAAGCTATAAAGCTCGGCTCCATCTAAGACCACACATTGTCTCTTTGATATTACTGTGTAGTGTGGGCTAAACAAATGATATCTTGTTAATTAGAGCTCCCAGACGCACCTCCTTATCTCACTCTTGCAAAT